AGTGGATTCTCTATTTTGACATTTGCCAACACAAAAATGAGCTTGAATGTTTTATCCTCTTTTTAAGATTTAAGAAAATATGGTCTTTTGTGTTCAGGAAAATGCTTTTAAGCCACTCAATACATTTGTGCAATGCGATTTTTCTCCATTCTACTTTTTGAGTTACCCCTCCTTTCCAAGTTACACATCCTAATCTTTTGCAGATGCGCATTCTTTCCCATCATATTTGTGTTTTTCAGGTAATATTGTGTTATTTATAATTGTCAACTCCATGTCATTCCATACGGCATCACTTCGGGCGGCAGTCGGCTTATGGGTTTCCTGTTTTGTAATCTGTGTTACAGCTCAGTGTTTCTCGATGCGTTTAAATATGCACGACTTCAACCGCACATTTATGGATATTTTTGGAAGGTTTGTTCGGTGTTAAGTAGCGCCAAATGTGACAAATTCATCACAGCTTGACAATGGCTTGCATATGCTTTCTCCATAGTTTCCTTCCCTTCTGAGCGTAGTGCAGGTCGAGTTTAGTGGATCTCATTATTGCCAATCAAGTGATCATAAAATTTCCTTGTTTTTCTTTAAACATTAGGAAGTTTTCTGAACCATCCTTTTGCAGATCACTCTCCCTTAGCAAGATCTCGCGCAACTAATGGCAGCAAATAAGTGAAATCAGAAGATAGAAAGTTTTCCTAAACAATGTGTTAAATCTACTGAGGTAGAGACTTCTCATCACCTAGAAATCCTCATCTCACAGTCCAGAATAGCTTTTGCCCGTGGCTCCAAAAAAGCCTTTGCCCTTATTTATGCCTTAGGCTTTATTAAAAAATACGCTAAGAAGGATAAACTAATAAACAATGAATAATTTGCTTCAAGCAAATGAGAAAAATTGAAGTCATAAGCCAGTCGATTTACCTGAATGATAGCAAAAAAATTTGACAAGTCTTACACAGGATAAATAAACGATGTTAAGACGATTTACTTTGGGAAAATTATTTATGTTCAGAATTTACTTGTTTTCGGCCATAAAAAGGTGAGCTGTTAGAGAAGGATATAGCAAAACTCCTTGATACTTAATTGAAAAAACAGGGAAGTGCATTTTTAAAATAAAGTTTTCTTTTGGTAAATATAAAATGCGGAAATTTTGGTCTACATTAGTCTTTTATGGCAAGTAAAATAGGACACAACAATAGAGTTGAAAAATGTACGATGTGCAAATTATTTGAATTAGTTAAAAATATGTTCTAGACAGACAGTTGTGCATCAAGGTCTTCTGGTGTTTTCGAATAACCTTTCGTTTCTGTTTAATTAACCTTAGATTTAATGATCTCAATGCAAATCGGCAGGCAT